CCTGCACATGAGGTTCCGCTGTGATTGACAGGAGCGAATTGGGCATCCGCCACAGTGACTTTGAGAAACATTGGATAAAATAGTGTTTCACACGACATACCAGTGGTTTATGGCATTTTAGAATTCCTTTTAGATAACCGAAAGTAATTATTCAGTTACTTTGCATAAAGAAGAAAATAAACCATAATTGTATCTAACTGATTTCAACTATACTTTCCACATCTGAAAATGAATTATTTCTCTGTGCTTTCTAATAAGCTTATTCTGGGAGGGAAGCCATATCACTGGAAATAGGAACAAAGGAGAAGGAAACATAAGATGGGTGAAAACAGTTCTTCTCCCTGCCATTTCACTGCCAACTTGTTTTCAATTTGACAAGTTTCCACCAAGGTCTGCGCTGTGAATGCTACATGTGAAGAGAGTGCTACATTTTCTCTGCACTCGATACCAACTTTTTAAAAGATTTCTGTATTTAGACAGGTGGTAACTGGGGATTTATTGGCCCAGACTTCCAATTGCATGGGCAGGTCTTTGTATATACGACTATGTTGCTGTTCTTCTAGTTGTCTGGCTTTGTTTTTACAATTCTCATGGCTGAAATGCTGACAAAATGAAAAAAAAACAGGTTAGGTGGGAAAACTTCTTTTTAAAAGGTTTTTACAGTGAACCTGAACTGTGTCTCATTTGGCCCGTGGGGAAAGACACTTGTGTCATATAAATGCTGGTTTAAATGACACGGTGTTGGAAAGTCAGAGGGGAAAATTTAGGAGCTCTGTGCCTAGCTGAGACCCTAACCACCACTACAATAGCACGCTCCAACTAAAACAAGTACAGTATTATGAACAGAAGCCTATGGTTTGTGGTTGGTTTCTTCTAGACAATACAAAAGACAACACACATACATACTATTTTTTTAACCATAATTGTGAGAACAACAGTCCAGATACTAGGCAAATGTTCTAGGACTTGTTCACACTTGTGGCTCACTGTGAAGGAAAGAAACCTCCATCCAGCAGAAACATTAGAAATATGTGTGATGTCTAATTAAGCGCACCTCAGTTACAAGAGCCTACCATGACTATTTCCTAAAAGGCTAAGTACCAGAGCATAGGTCCTCCAAGTGGCTTATGCTGCCAACTCACTGGATAGACTTGTGCCCAATACCACACATATGGAAGTAGGCACAGTTAATGCAAGCCATTCCATTCATTAAGCTGCTGCACCAACAGATCCAAGAATCACATCCCAGCATTTTGCAGCATTCCTATATTTTTAATTCCTTCCCTGGGCTCCCACACCATGCTTCCCTGGCTGCTCACTTCCCCATCTGCCTGAAAAGAAAAAGAAAAGACCATTCATTCTAAAATGGCAGTGGGCCTCAGTTTATAGAGGATAGTCCTCTGAAAAACTGTCAGAAAACAGTCTGACAGTCTTTGTTTGAAGTGGGCCTCTGTTTGGAATGTTATCCAGCCTAAAGCCAATTTCAATGTAAAGACCCAAAAGAAAGGGAGATCCTTCAACGGCCTTGAATTGCACCACCATAGGAGCAGCTGAGCCGTGAGCTGACCAGGCACACACAGATCAACTCATCAGAATTTTCCATCCTGTGGTGAGATATATTGCATTCCTACCGTGTTTCCCCAAAAATAAGACCGGGTCTTATATTCATTTTTGCTTATTTTCAGGGGATGTTTTATGATTTTCATGTACAACAATTTACGTTTATTCAAATGCAGTCATGTCATCTGCTGGTTGCTGCACAAGGGTGGTGGTGGGGTTTCATTTAACTAGGGCTTACTTTTGGGGTAAAGCTTATATTATGAGCATCCTGAAAAAATCATACTAGGGCCTATTTTCAGGTTAGGTCTTATTTTTGGGAAAACAGGGTATTTAAATCTACACTAATTATTTCTAAACATGAATTTATACATACAGTAGTGCCTCACTTAACGATTGCTTCGTTTAACGAAGAATTTGCTTAGCGATGGCTTTTTCGGAGCGATCTTGCACTCCATTTAACAATGTTCCCTATGGGCAATTTTCGCTTAGCGATGTTGGGAGCAGCCAGGCGGCAGGGCAGAAAGGCAGGAGCCGATCCAGTCTTTTTCCCCCACCAGGAGGCGTCTCCGAAAGTGCTGCACCCGATGGCTTCTTCCTTTCTTCCCCGCAGCCCGGCTGCTCCTAAAGGGCTGCCCCGATGGTGCTTGCAGCAGCGGAGGAGGTGCCCAGTGGGGAAGGAAGGCAGGAGCTGATCTGGCCTTCCTCCTTGGAGCTGCGCCACACCCACCTATCCCAGCCATGCTCGGACTGGCTGGGATAGGCTCGGAAGCACTTCCCAAAGCGCTGGGAGGGAGAAATCAATTGGGGGACCATGTTTCACTTAAAGATGTTTCCTATGGCGATTTTCGCTTAAGGACGGCAATCCGTTCCTATTGGAACGGATTGTCCGGTTTTCAATGCATCTCTATGGGAAAACGCGTTTCGCTTAGCGATGTTTTCCCATAGCAATGTTGTTTTTGGAACCAATTAAAATTGTTAATCGAGGCACCACTGTAATTATATAATCTATATAAATTATTATCTACAAATTGTATGCATATATTTATCCTGGGGTTTTTTGACTATTACTTTTCCTTGCAAGGACTGTTGCCTACATGGCTGCTATAAACCAAAATGAGTTGCCAGTTTGTTACCCTACCAACATAGCTGAGGGCTGGGCCTGCCTTGAAGCAACCCACTATAATGGGTGGGATGATAGATGAAGATGAATTGATTACTGTATTGTACATTGCAGTATTATGGGAGGCTATTAGTCTCAATTTCAGAGAGCAAAACCTTCGGGGACAACATTTGAAATACACTGTGAAAGGCCCAAAAAAGGTTGTACATTTAATTAGAGTATTTTTGTATAATTGGATTTGGCCGATATGACTATATTGCTTTAGTTGTACAATAACAGCTCATTCATCTCAGAGGTAATAGTCTCATTTCTTAATCCATAAACTATCTGTATGATCAGTGCAGGCAATTTAGAAAATTAAAATGATTTCATCCTGTTTGTTTTCCTGTTTTTCTTAAGATAGCAAATCTTAAGAAAACAAATACACTGAAATTCACTGGTTTATTTGTCCTTGATTTCTGTACAAACATGTTTATTCTGTTTAAAGTCTTGCAATGCCCCCTCTTAATAATATTCAATACCCTCCCATGAGAACTGTGACTGAGGTTATATAAATATACAGCTCTTGGTTTTGGCAAATCCACTTCACCCTTACAATGATCATTTTTCTTGCTGTATGTGTACAGCCACAAAATCAGTGAGGCTGAAAACTTACCCACATTTATTGGGGGAAATTATCCCCAATGAACACATTTGGACTTATCTCTGAGAAAACATATAGGATGAGGCTGTTACAGCTCTGAAAGATTGCCTTTTCCCATATATACAGTAATTACTTCATCTTTAAGTCTTCTTGAGAGACCCTATTTATATCCAACTGTTAGTGTGATTAGATGAGTATTTAGCCTGCTGTTCGGAGTGGTGCAGGGATGGGTTAGTCCTTTTGACAGTGAGCATACAACATAATCTCTGGAGTGAATCAAATCATCCCAGAGCATTTGTTCCTACCCACACATTTCTGGCCCCTGTTAGAGGCTTCTATTTATCCTAAAAGAAGATTAAATCATAGAATAAGTGTGACACACATACACACAAAAATGAACAGCCATCTAGAGAATATGCAAAGAAGATCAGGTATGGGAAGAATATAACTCCATCAGGTAAGGCAGGAATGCAAGTCCCATCAGTTGCAAATAGCATAGCCACATGTGTGCGTGTGCGTGCGCGCGCCTTCAAAGCAAACCTTCATCTACTTTGTCATTATCATGAAGTGGCTTGAAAAGAGAGCCAGTTTATAATATTAACAAATGAATCACTCCCTTAGTTCTGCTACATCCGAGGGTAGCAAGCTGGCTTAGAAAGTCCAGAAGAAGCCATGCAGACCTCCCAGATCTGCAATCTAAGATGGAGGAAGGCTGCAGGCTCTGGTGCAATGTCTGGGGTTGCTACTCCTGCCCCCGATATCTGCTTCCTAAAGCAGTTGCCTTTCAGTACCTAAGAGTAGGACCAGACCTGGACCATGATATTTGAAATCATGACACCCAGTGGCCCATTGTAGCAAGAGTTTTATTTATGACCACATTAATCTGGGCTCATTTTTTTTTAACTGTATGGTGAAATTCAGAAGGAAATTGCTTCTCCTTGCATGGTACTAGCTAAAGTCCATAAATGATTCTACAGGAGATATCCCTAATCTTAGGGCTGATAAGAGATATTAGATGTCCAATCTTTTTGTGCTGTAAAAAAACATGTAAGAAAGGGTTTTATTGTCAATGTACTAAAATGTGACTGTATGTAAAACTGCAACAGATGAATATAACAATCCTTATCTTTATTTAGACTATACCAGGTCCTCACTGAAAGAGATAATTAATACTTAGAATGAGATATACCAAGTCCTCATTGAAAGAGATAATTAATACTTAGAATGAGACTATTAAGTTTGCAACATGTGGCAGAAAATCCTGGCCCTTCTGATTATACTCCTGCATTCATCAAGAAGTTAAACTCCATCTTTTATACTTGGATTGGACTAAGACTTTTCATCACTGTACATCAGTCGATCTGCTTCTTTTTGCAAGGATATTCTTTGCATTTCTTAATAACCATTAAATAGCTGCTAATTATGAATGCTTATACTTTTAGTATTTCTGTACCCTACATTTCATTCCCACACGACCGTGTGTATGAACATTAGATTTAGATCAGGCATCCTTCAGTCTCGAGAGACTATGGTAACGTGCTCTGTATGGAGGACTTGGAACAGCGTCTAGTGAGCTCCTCTAAATTATGGGTAGAAGGGCATGCAAAACAAGAACAAATCTAATGTGATGAGGGGGTCCTCTTAGGTTCTTTAATGGTTTTTGTTTTTATTTTTCAGATCACAACTCCAGCTTTCCCTGTTGTCATCAAGCTGGGACATGCTCATGCTGGAATGGGGAAGGTAATGTTCATTGTCCTCCTAATTTTGAGAAAAATGTTCATGCCCTGTATACTTCAGTCAACAGGACAGCACAAAAAATCCCTTCATCACAACAAACAAAAATTTATCGGTTTTTTGTGTTATCCAACAATTGCGGGGGGGGGAGGGCTCCATACATTAGAGAGAGACATGGGGCCAGACTATATTATATGACTGTGGAGGCTGAGTGTATAGAGTACAAAATGTGAGGGATTATGAGTGGGTTTTATGTCTTCCCCCTTTCCTTCCCCCTCTGATAAAGGAAGTTCCAAGTCCAAATCATGATTAAACATTTCAACTTTCATTAACAATTCTTTATTTATTTATTTATTTATTTATTTATTTATTTATTTATTTATTTATTTATTTATTTATTTATTTATTTATTGCTGTTTCAGTGATGTATACATGCTAAAGATTACAGCTTGTTCTAGGACTACTCTATTTGGAACTTTGTCTTGCCAGGTGATACCAAAAATGCATCTCAGGCAACGCATATGGAATGTGTTCAATTTCCTCTCCTGCCATGTACAAAGGGTCCAGGAGTCACTGCAGTATGGGGGTGTACTCAGGAGACAGGCTCTATAGACCTGGATTTTGGTGTATGCCGTCAGTTTCTTATTAAGCCATACTCTCTTTGTGAGTCTAGAGAACATGGTAGCTGCTTTGCCAATGCATTTATCAAGCTTGACATCTAGAGAGTGTGTGTCAGAGATTGTTGAGTCAAGGTACATGAAATCATCAACAATCTCCAGTTCTTGTGCAGCAATGGTAATAGAGGAAAGTGAGTTCATGCCTTGGCCCGTGACTTGTGTTTTCTTCGAGCTGATTGTTAATCCAAAATCTTGGCAGACCTTACTAAAACAGTTCATAAGTTGTTGGGGGTCTTCAGCAGAATGGACACCAATAGCTGCATCATTGGCAAAGAGGAAGTCTGCATGCATTTCAGCTGGACTTTGGTCTTCACTCTCAATCTAGAGAAATTAAAGAACTTTCCATCTTATCTAGTCCAGAGATAGATACCTTCTGTTACAGATCCAAAAGAGTGCTTCAGCATGACAGGAAAAAGATCCCAAACAGGGTTGGTACAAGGACACAGACCTGTTTCACTCTGCTTTGGATGTCAAAGGGATCTGATGTTGAGCCATCAAAAACTACAGTGCCCTTCATTTCCTCATGAAGGGACCTGATGATGTTAAGGAGTCAAGGTAGACATCCAATCTTGGGAAGTATTTTAAAAAGACCATCCCTGCTAACCAAATCAAAGGCCTTTGTAAGATCTATGATGGCCACCAAGAGTGGCTGTTGTTCCCTGCATTTCTCCTGCAACTGTCTGAGGGAAAATACCATATCAGTGGTGGATCTATTAGTTTGAAATCTACACTGTGATTCTGGATAGACTCTGTCTGCAAGCGCCTGGAGCCTCTTCAGCACAACATGGGCAAGCCTCTTTGGTTACTACATTATTTCTGGAATATAGCTCAGAGTAGTGCTGCACCCAGGGTTCCATCTGCCATGGGCATGGTTGATCATGCCTGTAGCAGATTTCAAGGGTGTATAAACATATGTTCAGGTAATAATACTTCATGCAACCAATAAAGTAGGTTGCAGTCCATGCTGCAATAAATATAGAGAGTGCAGCTGAGTCTCAATTTCTTTCTCGCTGCAGTGGATCTTGGAATCAGGAGCTACCAGAATCATCCAGTCAGTGCAACCACATTCCTGTAGTCCAAAAATATAACTTTTCTAAGCTCTAGTTTATGGTAACTTGATGTAGACCCAATCTGGAGCAGAGGATCTCATTCTGATGGAGAAAGCTTAGATCTTCCCTCTGTCACCATTTTTTCTTGAATCTCTCAAAAACGCAAAGGTAGTTATTTGACAAGTTTGTGCATTTTGAAGCCCAGTGCCTTCAAACCTGACCCATGCCGAAAGCTCCATTTTACATATGATATTTGGTTACAGATACATATTTGTCCAGAAGTGCATGTATAATGCTCCTCTGCTATTGGACCAAGGTTTGAAGGGATCCCCAGGAAATGACTGGGAAGATCCTGGTTACTTACAAGGACATAGATTTATTGAGTAACTTATAAGGAACCCAGTAGAACAGACATTGTAGCTTACAAGTCATGGTGTGAAGTCTGAGCAAGTACAGCAAATAGTAATCGCAAAGGCTTTCACGGCCGGGATCTAATGGTTGTTGTGGGTTTTTCGGGCACTTTGGCCATGTTCTGAAGGTTGTTCTTCCTAATGTTTCACCAGTCTCTGTGAGTGGCATTTTCAGAGGACAAGAGTAGGAACTCTGTCTGCTCTGTTGCAGTTTTTTTTTATAGTTGAGTATTTACAACACAATGAAATATATGCATAATATAACAAACTGCTGCAAGTTAACTTAAATTAAATAACCCAAGATTTACAGATATAGGTTTTTTTAACAAGGGAACCAACAGAGTAGGGCAAAAACAGTTCAGTGTCAGAGCATATGATTTGTTGGTTGAAATCCTGTTGCATGGTGTGCTAATTCATGCTAGATTAGACCTAGTGAATCAGTGGGGATTTGGTGGGTCATCTGGTACTCCTGTCCTCTGAAGATGCCAGCCATAGAGACTGGTGAAACATTAGGAAGAACAACCTTCAGAACACGGCCAAAGAGCCCGAAAAACCCACAAAACCAACAGCAAATAGTCTTTATACATTATTGCTGTTTCACGAATAGGTTGCAGCTCGGTAATACATTATTGCTACATTATGCTTGAGTGTGTGAGCTACTCCTCAGTTAGTATCTCATTGTGATAAGCTCAGCTATGCATAGCTGTAGTAAATGAGCACACCATTGGCAGATGATAAACAACATCTGCCTTCAGCCTCCCTTTGTGTTCCGAAAACATACTTCAGCTTGCACATCCTTTGTCCATCTCTGAATCATGTGAACATTGGAGCAGCTTTAGTTACACAAAATGGAAGGCAACAAATCAAAATGGAAAACAGACAGCTCCTCTAAATTATGGGTAGAAGGGCATGCAAAACAAGAACAAATCTAATGTGATGAGGGGGTCCTCTTAGGTTCTTTAATGGTTTTGGTTTTTATTTTTCAGATCACAACTCCAGCTTTCCCTGTTGTCATCAAGCTGGGACATGCTCATGCTGGAATGGGGAAGGTAATGTTCATTGTCCTCCTAATTCTGAGAAAAATGTTCATGCCCTGTATACTTCAGTCAACAGGACAGCACAAAAAATCCCTTCATCACAACAAACAAAAATTTATCGGTTTTTTGTGTTATCCAACAATTGCGGGGGGGGGAGGGCTCCATACATTAGAGAGAGACATGGGGCCAGACTATATTATATGACTGTGGAGGCTGAGTGTATAGAGTACAAAATGTGAGGGATTATGAGTGGGTTTTATGTCTTCCCCCTTTCCTTCCCCCTCTGATAAAGGAAGTTCCAAGTCCAAATCATGATTAAACATTTCAACTTTCATTAACAATTCTTTATTTATTTATTTATTTATTTATTTATTTATTTATTTATTTATTTATTTATTTATTTATTTATTTATTTATTTTGTAGCCCGCCCATTTAGTCAACTGACTACTCTGGGCGGCTAACATCATATAAAATGAACCATTTAAAATATAGAAAAAAATAATACATCAATAGACAAAGACTCAAGGTGGAGGAACAAGAGGTGGCTGGAGGGAAGGCTTGCCTAAATAGCCAACAAGGATGGCAGCTTTGCTACAACTACTGTACTGCAAATAATCTCAAATTGGGGTCAAACAGTACTGAGGCTCTGGGTTCCTCAACCTGCTGGACCCTATCCAAGTATTTACATCTGTCCTTTGGGTCTTCTGGGTGAGAACAAGGAGGCATCTGGCATCGTTCAGTGCACAGGGAACTGCAACAAGGGTGTTGAGCCCAAGCCACCTCCATGTCCTTCCGTCTCTTCTGCTCCACTCTCCCCATTCCTCCATGGGTCAGAGCTTCCCACAATCTCATTCTCTCCAGTGAGTTCCATGTCTCTCTCACCTCTGGGTTTTCCTTGACCTGTCCTTCTGTTTCTAAACAAAGTTGTTTCCTTCGCCCTCTCTCCCCAGGAGGTAAGTTTTCTTGGGGGCCTATGCCTTCACTGTCTCTCAGCTTCTTCTTGGGGCACTCTGAGGCAAACTGTTTCTGCCATCAAAGGGTTTCTCTGACAACCCAGTCACACTCTTCAGGAAGTTCTGGCTCCCTCTCTTCTCCCTTTTCCTACACACTTCTCTTTCTCTGTGTTCTCTCTTTTCTCTTACTGTGCCTTCTACCTCTTTCTCTTCTTCCTTTAGTTTCTCCTCCTTTCCCCCTTCTAGCCCTTTTATCACTTTTACCCTTTCTTGCTCCTCCTCCTCTGACTATTGCTTTTCTCCTTGACTTTCTGGTGTTTTCCTACCTTTTCTTTCTCATGTCTGTGGGAGAGGTGGAAGTGGTGAATCCCTCTATTTCTGAAGAGAAAGGGGACAGCACTTTGATGGGAAAGTTTCCCTCCACATCTCACAGGATGAAAAGGGATTCGTTAGGAAATGGGTTGCATGATGGGAGACAATTATGTGTAATTTCAGGTTTAATTCACAAAACCTGGAAGTCATACTGAACTATTACTATCAAATTGAACTCTCTTTTTTAATGTGGGCTGGATTTGTTCCTGTACAGCCCCAGGACTAGCTCATGGAAACAATAGCACAACAGGAACCAAAATGGTCATACTTTTGCATGACCAAAGAACATATTTTTGCCCAACATGGACAAACAAGCAAATGAAGTTCAAGGTTGGTCAAATAAAGTTTGGGGGACTGAAGACAAAGCACCTTACCAATTTACCAGTCTTAAGGAGGATAAGAGCTTTCAGTGATCACTTTGAATGTGAAACACAAATGAATTTTTTCATGTAAGGATTATGTTGATACTGGAGGGTATTCTAACTAGACTAACTGTTTGCTAGAAAG